ACAGACTACTGAAATAAATTTCTTAAAGAAGCATAAGAAAAAGAAGTTTTTAAAGCTTTTAACTATACTAAAACAAGAAGTGTAGCAAAACTTTCAATTGTAGAATATGAGTTTCAGAATGAATCATATACAGTAAACTCTTTTGAGAAAAAATGTCAAGCTTTTATAAGAACTCTCTTTCAAAACTCATCAGATTCAGATTCAGAGGAAGAGAATATATCATATCTTAACTATATTAATGAAAATGACTGGAAATGACCTGATCTTACTCAAGATGAACTAGAGTCAGCTATCTTCTCAAGTTCAGTTAAGACTGCTGCAGAGCCTGATTCAATTAATCACTTAATTATTCAAAATACATACTTCTACTTAAAGAATCAATATTTTGAGCTTTTTTTCAATCTCTTGAAAAATGAATATCATTCTGAATGATGAAGAGAAGCCACTGAAGTGATTCTTGTAAAATCTAATAGAAAAACTTCAATTTCTAAGTTATATAGAGTAATATCTCTATTGCACTGTCTAGAAATGATTTTAGAAAAGATAATAGCTACTCAACTATCTTTTATAAGCTCTATAAGTGATTCTCTTTTATTCAGTGAATAAATGAGAGATAGAAAACAGTGTTCTGCAATTGACACTGTTCTCTCAGTTATTTATAATATTCAAATAGCAAAGTACAAGAGTCTGATCTCAACTGCAGTTTTTATTAATATAAAAGAAGTATTTGATCATGTTTCAAAGTCAAAGTTAATTCAGACATTGAAGATATTAAAACTGTCACTTTCTCTAATAAAATGAGTTAACTGTTTTATATCTAAAAGAATTATATAACTCTTCTTTGATGAAATGAAATAAGACAAGACTGAGATAAAAATAGAAGTATTATAAGAATCTTCAATCTCACTCATTTTATTTATAATATACACTGCATATCTATTCAAAAATAGAAATATAAGAATAGTGTAATCTTTAAGTTATATAAATGATATTGATCTAGTCTACAGCTTAAAAACTATCAAAGAGAATTTAAAAGTAATTGAAGAAGCTGTAAAGAAAATCTTTGTTAGAGCAGATATTAATCAAATTCAATTTAATATGAATAAAACTGAGTTAATTCATTTCTTTTCCAGATTTAATGAGAAAGAACTATCTCTAACTCTTTTAAATAGAGAGATTAAATCCAGTGTTAATATCAAATAATTAGAAGTATGATTAAACTTCAAGTTGAATTTTAAATATCACATTCAACAAAGAACTGTCAAGGCAGAAAGACTATTGAATAACATAATCAGACTATCAAATATAGAGAGAGATCTATTCTTCCAGGCTATGAGACAGTTATATATAGCCTGTATTACATCAGTAGCTGATTATGAAGTTCAGATTTGATGAAATAATCAAGAGAATTTCACTGAACTCTTTCAAAGTCTGTAAAACAGAGTCTTGAGAAGAATTCTGAAAGCATTCAAATCATCTTCTATTAAAGTAATGAAAATTGAAGCTTTAATTCCTTCTCCTGCTATTAGATTTGAAAAGGCCTGTATAAACTATGCTCTGAGAGTTATAAAGATGAGCTCAAATCATATAATCAGAGAAACAGTCTTTTCTTCATTTTCATCAATTAACTCTGAAAATGAACTAGATTGAAATAGATTTCTTGATTGAAATGAAAATAATTCTTCAAAGAAAATATCTTCTCAACTGTACAGACTATACTCTCTGATTAAAAATTAATTTTCTTCTTTAAATGTTGAAAAAGTTGATCATGAGAAGTTATCTCTCTGAAGAGAAAAGCTTGAATCTCTTATAGACTTATAAATAAGTGAACTATCAAAAGAGAAAGAATATGAACAGTATTTAAAGAGAATATCTATAATTAATATAAAAGACTCTATTCTGATTTATTCAGATGACTTAAAAAATGAGAATTTGAATAGATTAGATGCAGGCATTGCTTATACTGAAGATAATATCAATTTTATCTCAGATTTCTAAAATCTAGGCTGTGAATCTGAAGTCTTTGATGCTGAACTATTTGTAATAGTGAAAGCTTTCAAACTCATTGAAATAAAATCTTATAAAAGAGGAAATTGTTTAAAAGAGATATGAATATTCTCTGATAGTCAAGCTGCTTTAAAAAGACTTAGAAATAGTCAGATTCATAATGATCAAATGAATCTTAAACTGATCTTAAACTCTGTTTTGAAAATTTAAAAGAGAAGAATATCAAGGCTGATAATTCATCTGCACTGAGTTCCTGCTTATATGAATATTCATGACAATGAATTGGCTGATTCAGCTGTAAAAAAGAGTGCAGAATTAAGCAGATCTATTCAAAAAATTGTGTCCTAGTCTTTTATAAAGAGAAAAATAACGGAATCTTGTTTAGATAAGTGAAATGAAAGCTGGCAGAAATAAAAGAAGAGTATACATTATTCAAGATTTGAAATAAAACTCAAGTGAAAATCTTGTTTAATTAAATGTAAAAAGAAAATATTCTCATCTATAATACAGCTGAAACTAGGACATGGCTATTTTAAATCTTATATATAAAGATTTGATGATAGATTTGACTCAATAGAATGCTTATTCTGTAATATAAATGAGAATTCTGAGTATATTATAATTCACTGTGCATTATACAATAGTCTCAGAGCCAGATTGAAAGAGAAGTATAATCTAAATCAATTAAATATGAGATTCTTATTCTCAACTGAGACAGGAATTAAATACTTAATAGACTTTCTATCAGAAACTCAAGCAGCTATAAGAAAATGACTAAATTCAGAATTATCTGAATATGAAGAGGAGGAAATCAATCAGATATAGTCTGTTAAAACAGCTATATACTATCTTTTAATAATTTGTTTTATTACAGTCTTTCTTTACTTTATCTTTTTCTTTCAATTCCTTTCTATCTATCTATTTAATGTGTCTATCTTTAAGACTGTGTACTCTTTTCCTTTATTATGATATTGTCAAATGATTTCAAAGTATCAGAAGATGTTAAAACACTGCAATTTGTAAACAGTTTTTGTATTCTGAGCTGGAATTTTCTGATTTTGCATATCTGAAATTGATGAATGTATAATAGTTAACTTTACAGATATAGAAAAAACCCTGAGAATTAAAAGTTCTCAGGTAGATGTTATAGTCTCTGACTGCATACATCTATAATTGAAGAATAATAATAATAATAATAAAGACTCTTTTTCTTAATCTCTCTATTATATACTCTATTTATAGAAGCTTATAAAACTCTCTCTTTTTACTTAGTAATTAAATATAAATCTCTCTATATCTTATTATCTTTTCTTAGTAAATCTATTCTCTATTATTTTAGCTTTTATAGAGTTAATTAATAATCTGCTTTTTACAGATTTATAACTCTTACAGTAATTTATAAATAGTAAATAAAAGTTATTAATTTCTTCAAAGTTAAAAATTAAAAGTCTTACTTAATAAGCTTATTCTATATATTTTTATTCAGTCTCTTTATAAATATTATTATTCAGATCTTATTTCAGAGCTCTGTTTTCACAGATTTTAATTTATATTATAATTTTATAAAGTACTATAAGTAGTCTTTATCAGATTTCTTATCTCTTTTTTTAATATTAGTAATTATAGTTTAAATATTCTCTGTTTAACTTATAGAGTCTTTTAACTTATTCTTTAAATAAATCTTAAGAATAAATTAATAAAATCTCTTATAATTATTTTCTAGATAATTCAGTTAATTCTTAACTTCAGTATAGTAGAGATCTATTATTATATAAATAATAACTTCTTTATCTTTTATATTATATAATCAGACTTATAAGTTAATTTTAAATATAAATATTATAAAAACTTTTATAAATTATAATTCAGTAGATAATTTTAAGTAATTATAACTTAAGAAAGTTTCTTTTCAGTTTATAAGTATTTCTGAAGATTATGTCTAGAGACTTAGTTTAAGAGTGTTTATAAATAGTAAGTATTTCTTATAGAAAAATAACTTAGTTCTATAAAAGATACTTAAGAATATTTTTTACTAAGATTAATTTATTTATAAATTCAGAGAATTTCTCTATTATAGATGTAGAGAATAATATTCTATAAATAATTAATAAGTTCTCTGAGACTTCTTTTATAGAAGTTATTCATAATTTAAATAACTACTTCTGAGTGTCTGTAGTAGAGTTCACAGAGATTGAAGTATATAAGTTTCTAGTTCTTTCAGTTATAATAGATAATTACTGACTGACAGAGCTTGAAATATAAGAATAAATACTCACAGACAATTATTTAAATATTTACAGCTTGATATGATATATACTGATAGCTACTAGAAGTATTCACAGTAGAAAGATAAATGTAGAGATTAAATATATAATAAATAGTATTTAAGCTGAGTTATAAATAGTATTTGCAAACTCCAGTCTATATAGTTGTGTGTAGCCAAGGACTGCTAACACTATTGATTACATGAGGGATAGAAATAGGGGTAAGGGATCCGCGAGGAGCGGGATTTCTTACACATATAATCATTCTTAAGAAGATGTACAATCTTGATGATGAAATCACAGAGTTGAGATGACATATTGATGATAAAGGTAAGAAAGACGTGTATTTGAATGATATTCGATTGAAAAAGACGCGTATTGGATGATATGGAATGATTCTAGAGAAATGCAGATATTTTGATTTTTTGGTGGTGTTTTGCTACTAATTTTCAGGGGGGGCTGGGAAAATTCTGTTTTCGCAAGTAATATGTCCGCCACAATAAGCACAACTAAATAGTTACCTCTGACTCTCAAGTCTTTAACTTTCTATGGTGACGAAGGACTGGCCCGAAATAAAACTCTTGCCAGGCAATTGCAGGATGTCATAACAAGTATAGACTTTCCACACCTGGGACATATCACGCTTGAAATGACGTTCAAAGATATTACACCGACCCAGCCGACCCACCGCACGAGGAAGTGGAACGAGCATGCAGAGAAAGGAGCATAATGTACGAGACGAAGCAAGCTTCTTCGTGTACCAAAGGAGGCATAGGGTGCCGATACTACCGCCAGGTAGAGGACAAGCGTCTGCAGATGTCTAGCAAGCTGGAAGCGGTCAGATATGCCGTGACCGAGTACCTATACCTGCTGGGAAAATCGACCTCTAAGGATGAGGAGTCTACTCATGGCAAACCTGAGTTCTCATCAGACAGTCTCGACACTTACGAGCTGCCGTGGGACGAGCTAACTACAGCTGTCCTATATCCTAGGGATGAGTCCGAGTTGGAATGGGACTTTGAGGACGGGTTCTCAGAAGAGGAGGATTTGGAGGAGTTTGACACAGATGATTCCGACTCACAGGAAACCAACTTGGAAGAAAGCATTTCTTGGGGGCCTGAGAGCGAAGCTGGAGAATATGACCGCAATTCTGACAGGATACAGTAGAGGTCCGCAATGCTTCTCATTTTAGGCCTAAGAGCTTTACTCTTCTTGTTACACGGTTCCTGATACGCTTTATTCATTTCTTAATCAGCGGACACATTCCATTATGGGCTTTTTGCTTGATGAATATTACGGATATGATGATACCCAAATAGGTTCTATCCACAATGGTTATCGCGACTTATGAGATTGAGATTGACACTATATTCAATTTTCATATACATCAAGCCTCTGCCCGGCTTTGCAGGTGGCAGGTCTGGGGAAGGGTTCGCTGTGCCGCTGCTAGCAGCAGATAACAAACTATGAGTCACGAATCTCCTTGTAGCGATCATGGCATGCCAGGTGTTGATACCTCTCTTGATTCTGACGAAAGTCCCGTAAGCGAATGTGGTCCCCTTGGCCGGCAAAAATAGCCATGACAAACCAAGGACTGATATTTACACGAGCTACCACCGCCTCAGCCGACGCCACTCGTAATTCTCCCATATGGACCAGTTTCCTCGATGAACACAAGGGCGCTCGACAGGGCCATGTGTCGTCTGGCAATAGGGGCTGGAATAACCAAGTGTACGATGAGGAGATACCGGAGACTCAGGCTCCCTGCTTTCAAGACAGCCATGGTAGGTGCTTTTCGAAGCTGCGAATCTATTTCTGCGATTCTAACCTAAACATATCAGATCAAGCGATCCTTAGGGATGCTAGTGACAATGACAGTATTTCGCATGAGACCTTTGATGAGAGAACCACGCTGGTTATGTCTATCCTCACCACCTGCAGGGCATTCTCCTGAAGATGTGGAATCCGCCCTGCGAACCATATTCCCCCATACACACGCATCATCCCATCCTCTGATGAACATGTCTCAAAACAAGGCGAGTGGTGGCTAGGTAGTCGCGGGTAAAAATTAATCTGGTATGCAAATCAAAATGAAAATCAAATGCCTCGGATGAATTTTAATAAACAGATGATTAAGCAAAGCTTCCTTGAATTGTCCTTGGCCTCATTGGCTTCTGGTAAGGCCAGTTCCTCATGCGAATGTTCCATCCCGGCTCCGAGTCCGTGAAGCTCCACAGGAATTGTCGCACTCCAAATTCCTGGCCTCCGTCCAGGAATCCCTCCAGGATACCGCTTTTGAGCTCTTGGATAATGAGGTATTTACCGAGGACCTGACTTCCACATGCTCAAATTCCAAACCTATTAAATTGGGATAACTCGATAAATACTAATTATTCTGTTGTCAGTAGGGAGCGGCTGCCGGCGCTGGGTTGATTCAAGACCCTGACTGCCTCCAACAAGCGACGGCCGACTAGGCCTTTACCCACGTGAAGGCAGCTGGTGATGTCGATGGTATGACGCATTCTCTTATCTACCGCGCGTTGGAGCGCAATACTGGAACCGTTGGGTTGGCCAGTGCGCTCTGCGAAAGCATGGAAGCCGTAAACCCTGAAGTTGCTGCGATTACCCAGCACCAAGACCCAGCTTCCGCTGGCGCAGCTGAAATTAACAAGCAAATCGCTTTGGACCTTACCGTCCAGATCGCCTCGATCGGCGGAGATCTACTCTTGGCTATCGAGAGCAGCACATTCGCCCCGGGTGATGTCAATGATGCCACTAGAACCGGAAATAATTACCTATTAGTGTTCCTCCCTTTTCAGTTATACCTACCTAAGCGTAAACTTTTAATGTTTACCCAACTGACAATCGACTAAAACAACTCTAGGCAACACCGAGGGAGACGAGGAGGGCTGCATCTTCACCGAGAATCTGCTTGTCCCGGACGTTACTGAAGAAGAGATCATCTCGAGCAAGCTGGTATCAATGCTGAGAATGTTACGGCGGCTGATGCGGTTGGTGCCAATGATGTCCCGGATCAAGCCACTGCCTCAACCGCGGCCACCGTGGTTGAGACCGAAACGGCAGCTACTGCAAGCACGGCTGAAACAGCTCCTGCGGCCGCGACGTCGGAAGCCGTCGCCGCAGCTTCCGGCGGCGTTGATTAAGTTGAAAATACCCAAACTCTAGCCGGCCAAATTCAAAACAGCTAAATTCAAGCCACGAAAACAATTTCAAACCAAGCGTTCTCGTCCGGCTCTTTCTCCCTCTCCCCCTCTTCCCGCCCTTTCTTCCCTTCCTCCTCCAGGTCCTCCCTGGCGCCTCTGTCTCTAAACCTTGACTTGGTCATTTGCGCCGGCGCTAACCCATTCATCATCTTCAACAACGGCCTCTACTCGCCTTTTGACTCTGTCTTCTTCAGACACTCCGCAGTCATATCAATCGACGTCCTCTCGCTCTTCGTCTGCAACACTTTAGCTACGACTTGCTTTGCTAGTCGGGCCGTGATTGACGCCTGCTTCTTGGGTCGAGCTCTCGCTGCGGCGCAGGTGGGCCTGGCGGCTGCTGATATTTTCAACAACGCCTTTCTGACGCTGAGCTTGTAAGGAAGAATATTTTGTATAAGCGAATCAGGCAGGATCTTTGGGGATGGTTTGTAAGGCAGGATGCAGCACATCTGTCGGCGGACAATCGGGAAGTGTAGTAGATAAAAGTTACGGCCCAAAAATGAAAGGATAGCTTGAAACAACCTGCCGGCGAATGTAACGTCTACGAGTCGAAAATGTATTGGATTCCTCAATGAATTTTTTATTTCTTGGGGTTTTCCTTCACTATATACAGTTGGGTTCTATCGTGGATTGTGGAAGGTGTAAAGCTTGTGTGATTGAAAGGTTGCTAGCTTTGTGGAAAGTTATATGGTGGAAGGATGAGTAAGCCAGATCACGTGACCTGACACCCCCACTCATCAGAGTAACTATACACGATGCTATATACAAAATTCGCCTTCAAATCAAGTACAGGTACAAAAAATGACTGGAAAATGTGAAGTAATGAAAAACCAGTCATTTTATACATCATTTTTTATCCCCCTATCCCCCTATCTTCTTTATATTCTCTTTCCAACATGTATATTTCAATGTTTCAAGTGATTTAGTAAGCTCATCCGCCACATTCTCAGCAGATGAAACATATCAGATAGATATCTCATTCTTGTAAACAAGATTCTGAAGAATGTGGAAATGAACCTCTATATGCTTCAAGCAGCGTGGAATTGCTTCGGAAGAGAATAGCTCTATGACAGACTTATTATTGGCATGGATTGTATAAGCCAGATCATTGACTGTGGTGGAAATGAGGTGATCATCGGCATTCAGATTGTTGAGGTGGGATGGGATGAATTCAGTGTCTTCTAGAAGCTCTCAGAGACAGACAAGCTCATATGCAGCCTCAGAGGATGCAATATATTCGGCCTCTGTTAATGACTTAAAGACCTCTGTTTACCAGCAGCTCCGCCATGCAACGGGACCACCTGCCATGTAGATGATATAACCGGTGGTTGAACAGGATCCTGGATCCCTACTAGCTCAATCAGCATCTGCATATGCTACAGGTTCAATTTCAGCACCTCTGTGATAGGTTATACCCTCATTGATTGAACCCTGTAGATATCAGAGTGTATGCTTATATACAGCTCAGTTCTTTGATGTAGATCAGGAGCTGAATTGTTCAAGAAATCCTGCAGTGAAGCTCATATCAGAATATGTATTAAATATCAGATATTGCAGAGATCTGATACTGAATTAATAGAACTGTAGAATAAATTCTGCTATGTATATAATCAGTTTCTCATTATTATTCATAAAATTAACATTCTTCTTCATAGAAGTGAATATAGAATGACAGTCATTTATTGAGAACTTCTTCAGAAGATTTCTTATAAAGAGAGATTGAGATAATATTAATAAAGTTAAATCTCTATCAATCTTCATTTCTAGATAGCAGTTGAAATTCTCTATATTCTTGATCTTATAATTAGCAGTGATTTCAGCTTTGACTCAGTTCAGATCTTTGATTTTCAGTCTGTAGAGACAGATATTATTCACATAGATAATTATATAAATCTATCTTTTATTATGAATAAATAGTTCAGTATCATAGAGACTGATATGAAAGTCTGAGTGTAATAGCATCTTTCACAGCTTCTTATATTATAAGAGTGCTGCTTGCTTAAGATTATAGAGTCTCTGTATTAACTCATATATAAGATCATTATAATCTTCACAGAATTCTGTGAGTTGATTTATATATATTCATTTATCAGCAGACAGTTGAGTATTTAAAAAAGCAGTTATTATATCAATCTACAGAACATATCATCTCTGAGATGCTGAGATTGTCATAAGAGCTTATAAGATGAATACAGAGATAATAGATGTAAAGATTCTTAAGTAATTAACTCTCTTCTATTGAAGATTTCTGCAGACAATTCAGCAGGTCTTATAATAGATAACATCACTTATATTATTAAACTTTTTATCAAATACTTATTGATCATGAAGAACACTCATTTATAATATTCTCTTAATTAGTTATCAGATCTCTATCTATTTTAAACAGTTAATCTCTTTAATATAGATCTTATAATAATACTTTCATTTCATGAAAGCTTTAGTGTGTATAAGATTTTTCAGAATCAGAAGTGCAGTAATCTCAGAATCAGTGAGTAGATTTTCAAGACTATTTCTCACTAAAGATTCTCTCACTATAGTGATATTTCTTATAGATGTTGAAGAATTATCTGATTTAACTATGAGTTCTGAAGAGTTCAGTGTATTCTGCACTAAAAAGATAGATATTCTTATGAAGATATTATAGTCAATTCACTAATTATTAGTGAGTATAAGAAATAATAAACACTCAGGTTGAATTTTCTCATCAATGAACAGATCAGAAATCACTGCAGTCTCTTAACAGACTGCAGTGAGTAGGCCTGATATCACTGAAGAAATCACTGCAGCCGCTTTACAGGTCATATTGAGTAGAACCTTCGGATTGTATGTTGTAGTCAGTATCAATGAATTGGCAAGATGAAGGTTCTTCTGAAAGATGACATCTTTTGATATATATAAATACTTATTGAAGAGGTTCATTAATCTATAATTAATAAAATCATCATAACTCATAAAAATCAACTCTTTGAAACAGGAAGTCATCTTATTGATAGGCTTGAGAACTATCTTCAAGAATGCTTTGCAACCTCATCAGTGAATGCCACATGCAGAGAGTAGAGCTTCAAGTCAGGCCTCATATAATGTAATCAGCTTTGTATTTTCAGAGCTCTTATACAATATTGTTGAGATTGATATAAGATTAAGCAGCTCTGTGACTGTAATAACTGTCTCATCTCACATCTTTTTCAGAGCTGAAGAGTCTATTAATAGTGATTAGAACTTCTCAATGATCAAACTGATTAATTATTCAGTTACTTCATCTTGCTATGAAGTATGAGAAGAAGTCAGCTTTCATTTTATATCTTCACTGAGCATATATGCTGTGACTGCATTTAAATTCAATTCTTCACAATCTGAGTGAATAATTGCAATGCCACATCTCAGCAGATTCTTGATGAATTGATTGAAGATCTGTAGATATCTCAATGTCTCATCTTTGTGTTTTAATAGAAATATTCATCTTATACAGATAGCATTATCTGTTATCATCATTGCAAGCTTCTTACCAGTGTAAGATGATATATCATTCTCAGTTTCAAGAGTCTCATCATCACTGAAGATATTCATTCAAATCTTCAAGGCCTTGTGAGTGGCATGATGTGGTGTGAAATTCTTGTAGAAAGTGTGTTTCTGTTTAGTCTTAACACATGTAACACAGAATGATAATTTCTTCAGACTGATAATGATAATATCAAATCACAGATCTCTGATCATTTTTAATATACTATTTTCACTGATATGATCAAGTCAGTGATGTCACTCATCTATTGAAAGCTGTTTCAGAAGAACTGCAGATAATCAAGATGAAGATAAGATAATAAAGAAATCAGTATCTGAATTCTTAGAATTGATTAACTATTCAATCTTCTCGCGATTGAAAGACTTCAAAGATTCAGCACTTAGATTATAATCTGTTGAGATTGTCTTTGATTTTGAAATAGTCATATATATCACTGCTTCATACATTGAGTCATTCATTATCTCATAAAATGTCAGTGAAATGTCAGTGAAATGTCAGATAGAATGTAAATATTATTATGAAACAGATTAGTATAGAAGATATCACTGTTAATAGATGATAGAAACTCAAAGTAGTTCTCAGCATTAACTTGCATATTATGATGAATATAGCTCTGATGTTTCATCAGCTCAGCAGAGATCAGATTTGTAAATAGTTCTGATATGTAGTATATATAATTGAATTCTATCAATCTTTTACTCACTGAAATGAATACAGTGCTGACACTCTGAACCTTCATAATAATCTTATTAATCACTTGAACTGTTGAATCATTGATAGCTATAAGTTCTGAAAATTGTGATCTATCACTTACTATATAACATTCAGCATCACTATTTCATATAGTGAGGAGATTCTTGTGAGATTTCATGAAACAGACTGATACATTAATAACCTCTGTGAGGTTTGTCATCTGATAGATCTCTGATTTATCTGTAATGAATAGTTGAGTTCTATTCTCACTATTATTCTTTTTCTTCTTTTTCTTGAATTTCTTTATTCTCACAGCATTGTTTATTCTTCAATTATTCAGAGCACTGTCTGAATTGATCAATTAACAGATGTTAAAGTGAGATCTCTCACATTCAGAATAGATAGATGAATTTCCTGATCTCTGATAGTTTCAGAAGCTCTCTTAAGTACTATTATAATTACATTCAGTACAGCCTTCACAGGCCGAATTCAATGTATTGTTGTTTGAATTGATAGATGTAGTGATCATTGTATCTGTTGTAGCTGTTGTAGCTGTGTTGACTGCAGAATCTATATTCTGCAGATTCTTTTTATCTTTTGAAGAATCAAGCTGTGAACAGATTTTCTTCATGAGAAGATTAACATTCAATATCACAGCTATGAATTTGAAATCCTGTATCTTCTCTATCTTCTTCTGAACATAATTTCTTCAATTGTTGAGTAGAACTGAGTAGAAGATATCAAATATTCACATATCT